AAAAAAAAAAAAAAAAAAAAAAAAAAAAAAAAACCGAAATTAAATATCCTTTTTGGGGATCCCCCTGTTCAGGAGTCAGGACGGAATCTAAATGATTAGATAAATATTCAATAGTCAGGAGTCAGGACTATCCGGTATCCCGCGACCGTGTTGATCTGGGTGTTTGCCTCCGAGGTAGCCATGACAAAAATTAATGGGGGTGGTGTAAGTGTAGGCCAGCACCTAGCCATTAGAAGGCACCAACGAGGGTTCCTGATCCTTTCTTTGGCAGGTACACAAAACCTCAACCGGTGGAATGGGGAATTTCACTGACAGTGTTCAGAATAGGAGCCTGTTGTTTTGCCAAAAAGAGAAGAAAAACAAGTGTGGATATGTGAGAGAGCCTCAGAGAGGTAATTAGAGGTTTTGAATCTGTTACAATCCTGGTCATTTCCGAAGTGCAAATTCACAAGAAGAGACGATGCCACCCAATTGTGAAAGGAATGAAAGCACTTGCAAAGAGATAGAGACCAAAGAAGAATAGAGGAAGAAGAAGAAGAAGAAGAAGAAGAAGAAGAAGAAGAAGATGTACACCAGCAAAACCAATGACAAACCCCCCTTCTCTCCACCTTCCTCCTTCTCCTTATCTTCGCCAATCTTTCTTATTCTTCTTTCCGAATAATAATAATAACAATGAATGGATGAACCAGAGTCAATATCCAAAGTTCCCTCTTACTGCCAGCACAGCAACAGGTCCACCATAGCCATGGCTTCTCCCTTCTTCCCCCTCTTACATGCCAAGGCTATGGCGGACTACTAAGGGCTCTGCCCTCCGGTGCAAAGGACAGCACAAAGTAGCTATGGTCGCTGCTTATCAGGCCGTCTAGTTTGATTTTACGTAGTTTATTTCTAGGTGAGTGTCATGATGCAACTGGGCACTCTGGCTATTAAAAGACTAGTGCGAATCTGGTACAGCGATTCTGGTGGCCTGATATGCTATACGAAGCCAAACTGTACGTACAGACTTGTCAAGTCTGTCAGCGGGACAAGCTGTGAACTCGAGCTCGACTTGGGTTACTCAAGCCCTTGCCCATTCCTGCTGGCCCGGGACAGAGCGTCTCCATGGGCTTCATGGATACTCTCGTGACCAGCAAGAGTGGCAAGAGGCACATCTTCGTCATAGTTGATAGGTTTTGCCAAGTACACTAGACTGATTGCCATGCCGGAAACAGCAAGGACTGAACACGTCATCAAGTTATTTATGGATAACTGGGATCTTCATCATAGTTGATAGGTTTTGCTAAGTACGCTAGACCGATTGCCACGCCAGAGACAGCAAGGACTTAACATGTCATCAAGTTATTTATGGATAACTGGGTGCGTGATTTTGGACTGCCTAAGACTATCGTTAGTTGCAGAGATGTCTGTTTCACTAATGAGATCTGGAAGAAGGCTGCAGAACAGATGCGCAGCCAACTCCAAATGACTTCGGGGAATCATCCCCGAAGCCAACGGGCAAGCTGAACAGATGAACCGTGTGGTGCAGCATCTGCTGAGGCATTACATTAAGCCCAGCCAGGATGACTGGGATGAGAAGTTGCCTCTCATGGCCAGTCTGTACAGCAACGCTGTACACAACACCACACCGAATCACCTACATTTGGGGTGGAAGCCTAGATCTGCTTTAGACTTCCTCCTACCTGAAAATCGATCTGCTGAAACTCCTGGAACCATAGAATTTGGTGTCCAGTACGAGAAGTTGTTGCAGCAGGCTGTCTTGCACATTAAGAAATCTCAAGAAGCCATGATTGCTTCTGAGAACAAACACCGACGACAGTCCACATTTCAAGTAGGGGAACGAGTCTGGGTCAAGGCTAGTGAGCTAGGACAGGAATTCGGCATCTTTAGGAAACTAATGCCTCAGTACTTTGGTCCTTGGGAAGTCTTGGACATTGTGGGTAGTGATTTGGACGGACCCTCGTACGTTATTCGAATCCCTGGTCACTTACGCACTTACCGTGTGTTTCACGCCTCAAAGCTTGCGCCTTTCGCTGAGACACAACAGTTCCCATCAAGGAGATCAATGCTGCCCCCAACCATGGATGGCCACGTGGACGTCGACGATTTTTTGGAACACAGAGACATGCCTGTTCCCAAGCCTGTGGGTAGAGGAAGACCGCCTAAACCCAAGAGGGAGTACCGGGTCAGATTCAGGCATCATACGGATCCAAAAGAAGACCAGTGGTTCACAAGAGAGGAACTGGTGGAAACTGCACCTCAAAATGTGGCAGACTATGAAAGGAAGTTAAAGGGGAAGGCTCCTGTGTAAGAAGCATCTCAGCGGACTTTCGAAGCTAAGGGGGATGGAATGCGAGGAATGAGCCCTCGCAGGGCCCTTATCAGACATGCACATGTTCTGGGCCGTGGCCCCCAGCAAGCCCTGTGCCCGCCCATTGTGAAGGCAGGCCTGAATATCCACGAGAGGCCCTTATCTCAGAATTTTCCAATGTGGGTATCAGACAGTTGCAGCACGCCAGTTGGTTGAAGTGCAACATGGGCCTCTCCCTGGCTCCTTCAGGTTGCAACAGCTGCGTCAAGCAGTTGAGCCCAGGACGCGGGTGGTTGCGCCCTGGGCACACGCAGTGCGAGGCCGACACATCACGAACTAGCCGCGGGCTAATGAGAATGCAGCATTGTTGTCACAACTACCCCGTGGGCCAATGCAAACACGGCAAACACTGGGAGGCTGGAGGCAACCTGAAGGTGCCCAACCAGAAAGGGCCCAGGCCCCTAACTGTCGCACAGGACCTGGAAGCAGACACTGGGGCCCAACCGGAAGCTACTGGAAACTTCCACGGCCAGGCCCAGGCACCCCAGCAGGGCAGCTACTCCCAGAGGCTGGCCATTCTGGCCGAAGCAGGCAATGCGGACAGTCTGCTGCGACGCTGCGCAAGTGTCTGCATGTGCGCTGGCTGGCTGGGGCGCGCGGGGGCGCTAAGAGGTGTGGGGCGCTGCAGGGCAGCGGGGCGCTAGCGGCCATAGCCGGGCTGCAGGGCGCGAGCGGGTGATGGGTGACAGTGGTCTTCAGGAAGGAGGCGCAGGTGCTGGTCGTCAAGGTCTGATGAGGGGAGTCGAGAGAATGCACCAGGTGTATGTCGGAGGTCGACATTGGTGTTGACGTCATGTACTTTGGTCTGCAACGGCGAAGTGATCCTGTTGCACGAATGTAGATAGTTTAGATAGGCTGAGTAGAGTAGGCTGGGCGCTGGGCGCCATACAGTAGGAGCGACATTGGATACTGTGTTGGTGTGGCCTGATAGGCTGAGTAGAGTAGGCTGGGCGCTGGGCGCCATACAGTAGGAGCGACATTGGATACTGTGTTGGTGTGGCCTGAGGGCTTGGACATTGACTCAGGAGTCCATTGTATCGCTCTTATATGGATGTAATCTTGGTGCATTTATGATCTCTGCTTGGTACATCACTATCTGGACTTCTGTGTGATTTTGCAACTTGGTTTTCTATCTATTGCTCTTGCTCTTTTTTCCTTTTCTTTTCTTCTCTGAAAGGGACATGCTCCAATCTATTCGTGGGGAGCAGCACGTGCTGGGAACGGGGCCCAGCGTCCCATTCAAGATCACATTGAAAAAATGAGAAATTTATGGAGAAATCCTTGAGATACCGGGGCCATTACCCGGCTTCGGCTACGAAAGACAACTGTGTAATCTACACAAGAACACTGGAATTCTCTGTCCCCTAAAGCTCGGATCAAAGAAGCATTCTGAATGAAAAAAACACCTGCGTTAGGGCCTTTCAGCAGCCCAACCCTACCTGCCTCACCTTGCTCATATTCCTTGCACAGTCTAGTTATCATATCCAGCAACAGCTGCCCTTGTTGTCTAACAAACTGTATTTCCGGGTTTCAACTTTTCCAAGTTTTCTTTCAATTTGAAGTATTTCTTCCATGCGGATGTCTGGACCGGGTTCCAGACAGTCCAGAACAACATGTCCAGGTCCGGTGTCCGGATGGAGGCCCCCAGGGCAAAAAAAAAGAAAAAAAAAGGGGGGTGGCCCAGGACGTTTTTCGGGTCCTGGCCGCCCCTTGAAAAAAAACAGGGTGATTTTTAGTGTCGTTTCACCCCACCGGACCCAGGGCCTAGAGGCCCGGACACAAATCACTGCAGGTTTTGGGTAGCGGGTTTCACACAGGCAAGCGCAATTTCAAAGCGGCTGTTTTGAAGTGCCACCGGCCGCTGCCTCCTGTTGGAGCGGAGAGAGAGAGAGAGAGAGAGAGAGAGAGAGAGAGAGAGAGAGAGAGAGAGAGAGAGCACTGACAGTGCTGCCAGTCTGAAGACTTCGATGTTCTGAATTGAACTGCAAAGTTCGAACTTTTAAGTTGTATGTATTAATAAACTTAAATTACTTCATTCAAACTTCAAACTTCAAAGTTAATCGTACTTTTTTCAAAAAAAAAATTCTCTGTTCCTTCAGTCTTGTGCCTGCTTTGCACTGTTTGCAACTCTGCATGTCTGCTAGTTGAATGTGCTTGTTGATTTGCTGCTGCTGCCTGAACTACGAAGTGCAAAGCAGGTGCGCAGTGTGCATCCAGCTATATCGGGAAAACATTCATTTACATTACTTGGATGGATCAATCCCAAGGGAAGTCCTGTGTTGATTTGATAAATATTAGCACCTCTAGTGAAAACTAGAGAATGATTGGAAAGGCCAATCAAACTCGGAGATAGCTGGTTTTCAGCGAAATCTATTGAGGTAGAACATGTGATCTTCAATATACCTTTCTCGGCGTTTTGGTTAAGATCATGTGTAGCATCTGTTCTGATCAGTTTAATATCTAATCTGTGGTCCATCGGGCCACGCGATACTATAAAAAAAAAAAAAAAGAACGTGTGATCTTCATTGCTTTTTGACCCCCTGACACCGGTCCGGACTGTCCAGGTCTGGGGATGTCCGGGTGTCCGGTGATGTTCGGATCACCGGATAGTCCGGACCGGTCCAAACACTAGTCCGGAATACAGTCTGGAAGTGTGCAGTGTCCCGGTTACCATGATTTCGTCGTTGCGAACAATGAGCATTCCTCAGCTTTTTGTCGCAACGGACGATTTGAGGTCCTGTTATCTGTTTGTTCTCCTCAGTTATGTGGGAGCAAAATAAAAATAGAAAACGAGGAATACGGGAGCAGGGCCAGCAGGCCTAATTCTCCCAGCCGCAAACGATTTCCCTCAAACAAGTTCTCTTGATGACTGATGAACGGATTCTTGTATGTCTTGGATTGCACTCAGGGAGAGCTCGTCGACTCCTTGTCACGAAGACCTTCCCGTGAGTCAGCAAAAGCCACCAAAATCTCGGAGATGCAAACAAGGTGAAGAGAAAAGGACATCTAATGAATTGAGTAGAGCGACTGCATACCAAGGATGTGATCATCCCCGACTTGAGATTGCTTGGAGAGTACTACAGTCGGCATATTCTCTGTCATGGCAGGTTCCCCGTCTGCAAAGTAAGGTATGCGATACAGGTGACCGTGGTGCATCAAATCGGGGATTGGCTTGTTGACTACCGTCTTCACCCGAGTAGCACGCCCGGTCATTATCGCTGCATCTGGACAGAAAATTGCCCCAGGTATGACTATAATGACCGGGTCTTCTATTTGGATGAAGACGGTAGGGAGCAATTGGGTTGTCAAAAAACTTGGTCTGCATGTCAGATTGCTTGCCAGAGGGTTCCACAATTTAAGTGTCCAGGGTGTTGGGCCTCTAGCCATCCTTCACTATACCAATGCGCATCATGAAAGGTAGCTGTTATAATGCCAATGATCACGTGAGCACTATGTCCCGGTCTGAAGTCATGTGAATAAGTGGAAAAGTGAGACTCATGAATAGGTCCTGATGAATCTAATCGTTCTAACAACTTCTTGCACGATCCTGTCCTGGAAGCATGATACTCCCAGTGTACTGGAGGTGTACTGGAGGATATCAGTGGCATGCTGCAGACGCAAATCCTCCTGCTTTCTCCACTCTGTATGGTCTCTTTTCTAGCATTCCCCTCGTCTCTGTAAAGGACGGGGGGTAGAACCATGACAAAAGTGCAGGATGCGTGGTGTGCACCCCAATGCTGCACCGTCTTATCCTATCATGTCTATGTCAGTGCCAGGTATGTGACGGCTATGGTTTATTGTTGGAATAGTGGTTAGTGAAAAAGACACTGGATGACTGAACACATGATGTGAATGAGCGCAAAAGTGTGAGTACAACACAGGACGTGAATGAGCATTGCGCTGCCTTGAGTGAGGTGGAGTCCTTCCACACTCCCATTCTATTTCTCATCTTCTCAATGCATTGTGCCCTGTTCCTGGGAAAGGACCTCTTTTTGTGATTAGTACCGTAAGTGTCCCAATGGCTTCTTCTACTGTTGACCATGTTGTTGGGCCGCTTGGGCCAACCAAAGCAGGTAATACAAGGGTGTTAAAAGGACATCTTTCCTGAACATGGGCTACAGGTTAGTGAAAAAAACACTGGATGACTGAACACATGATGTGAATGAGCGCAAAAGTGTGAGTACAACACAGGACGTGGATGAGCATTGCGCTGCCTTGAGTGAGGTGGAGTCCTTCCACACTCCCATTCTATTCCTCATCTTCTCAATGCATTGTGCCCTGTTCCTGGGAAAGGACCTTTTTTTGTGATTAGTACTGTAAGCGTCCCAATGGCTTCTTATACTGTTGACCATGTTGTTGGGCCGCTTGGGCCAACCAAAGCAGGTAATACAAGGGGGTTAAAGGGACATTTTTCCTGAACATGGGCCACAGGTTGGATGACCAGGATCATATGGATGAACCGCATACTTGTGCACCACCCTGCGCAGACCCCACGGGTGATCTACAAATGACTGACCAACAAAACCAGCCTGAGATCCCCGCGAATCTCTGTGGTCTGACTGCAACTAATAGCTGCCTTCACGTTCTCAATCGGCCGTTGTATACACCGTCAGATTTCCTTGCAATTGCCCTGCAGCTTGATGTTGATCTCGCTAATCTCGCTGATCCCCCCGACCTACAGCCAGAGCATCGTAATTACACCAGGGAAGGAGGTTTTACCATTGCTGTCCTAGAAATAGCGATGAGGAACCGCCAGCTTGAACTACGCCATGCTCTGCCAGGTGTAGCTGTTTAATCCTCCATCCCGCATCTCTGCCTGCATTGTGCATGGACCTGGCCATTACATGGCTATTGTACACGCCTCTGACCATTGGGAGGTGTGGAACGACGGTGTCATGGTCCATGCCATGATTGATATTACTGATTTCT